CACTTCTTTATGATTTCTTTCTCTATTATAAAGACAGAGATTGTTCTTTTTGCTGCTGCTGCAGCTGCAGCAGCAGCAGCAACAGCAGCAGCAGCAACAGCAGCAGCAACAGCAGCAGCAATATTTGTTGTTACTAAATAACATGAATTGATTGATGTATTTATTTATATATATTTTTGCGTTTTTCTTGTTTTTATGTTTTTCTTTGTATCGCCTCTTTATTCTATTTATTATATATTCTTCTTTCTGTTTCTTTTCTGTTTATTATATTTGTTCATATTAACTTCGCCGATGTTTTTTGTTGAAATACAAAAAAAACTGAAACGGGTTGAAGTGTATAGACAGGTTAAGAAAACCGAGGGTTTAGGGTTTAGGGTTTAGGGTTTAGGGTTTAGACTCTCTACACTCTAAACCCTAAACCTGAGAATAAGGGATTTTCTTTTGCTGGGTATTTATACAAATAGATAGATGATCAGGTGTATAGACAGATAGCTGAATGCAAGTAGTATGCGTAACCCAATCAGATATCTCTAAACCCTAAACCCTAGCTACAGGCATAGATAAACCCTAAACCCTAAAAATATATTTTATTAGCTGCAGTTGCAGCAGCGAGAATCGAGTGGTGTTCTGGTGTATGGTGAGGCGGCTGAGAAACGAAAAAAATAAAAGTTTCAAGAAATGCTTTTATTGAATAAAATATTTTATTGAAAACGATAAAATAATATTCAACTTTTATAAAATATAAAGCAGCTTATATGTATGGTGGTTCTGTACACCGCGGTGGGTGGTGTGGCTCGGGTGTATCGAGACCTATTGCGCGAGTCCATTGGTGTTTTTCTTTGTTTTTTTTCTTTTTTGACTCAATATATCCAATTAAAACCTTTTAAAAAAGTAGAAATATAATAAAAAACATTTGAAACTTTATATCTTCGTTAATAATCATGCTTTCCCGCAGAGAAGTGCAGCGATAGCAACCGAGTTCAACACAGAAACCCGCATCGGCGGCCTGTGGTGCTGGGGTGATATATAGGCGCGATCTGCCGGTTAAACTCTTTTTTTTTTTGCATGCAAAGAGTTTAATTGAAATATTATTTGTTGTTTTCCTAGAAAATTCAAAAATTTACAGAAATTACTGCAGCTTTCCTCAGCTTTCCGTTCGCAGTTCACTCTCGGCTGCCTTCGCCTCGACGGTAACACAACACAATACGACTTGAACAGTTGAGTTTGTTCATCGTTCTTTTTTTTTTTCTTTTTTATTAAATGTAAATATTCTCTTTTTAGTTTCATTTGCTTTCAGCTTTCTTTATATTCTGCAGCACGCAAGCGCCAGTAGTTACCGTCTTCAATTCAAGTTGCTGCTGCTGCTGGATCTCACTCGCGTTGATCTGCCTCTCTACATACAGCAAATGGATGGTCTGACCAGCTGCATAAATAAAAGAGAAATAAGAATGTATTCTTCTTTTCCATCGGTCTCTGCCTCTTGATTAATAAAACTCCCCTCTTGCAGCTGCAGCAGCAGCAGCAGCAGCAGCAGCGGCAGCAGCAGCAGCGGCAGCGGCAGCGGCAGCGGTTCAGCTGTCGATACAACTCAGCAGCAACAGCAGCTGCGTATACACCCCAACAGTACAAAAAACTCTTCTTTTTTCTCCTCTGCAAATGGACTTTTGTTCCCTTTGCTGCACCGATGAAGCGGATATGGGGGTGGCCCCCTACGACCGCATTGCTGCACACATAGGTCTCTCAGGTATAGTGTACATACACCGCACGGCTTCATAACAAAAGCAGAGCAACACACACACACACACACACATAATACTAGAACAAACATGCATGCATGCATGCATGCATTCATCTGTGCATGCATGCATGCTGGTGCTTGCATGCATCGGTGCTGCTCGCATGCATCTTTACATGCGTGTCTGCATGCATATATGTATAGGTTTTGCATGCATATATGTTTGCATGCACACATGCTTGCATGCAAATATATATATGCATGCATATAGATCCATGCACATATATATATATATATATATATATATATATATATATATATATATATATATATATTGTTGTTGCTTACAGATGACGATTTGCTGGATTTTGAGAGTGATGGCGGCGAAGCTCCGAGTTTAGCAGCGGGTTAGTCGATACGTCAATTTAATTATATTTCTTTTTTTTTTTTTTAATTATATTTCTTCTTTTTTTTTATATTTCTTCTTTGTTTATTATATTTCTTCTTTTTTTCTAAATTATATTTCTTTTTTTTTTACTTATATTTCTTCTTTTTTAATTATATTTCTTCTTTTTTTAAATTATATTTCTTCTTTTTATTAAATTATATTTCTTCTTTTGGGGTGTATGTGCATACACCTGAACATGTATTTCAGTGCATGCATGCATGCAGAGTGAGAGAGTTATAACTCCCCAATAAACCGTATTATAATATTTATTTTTTTTTGTTTTTTTCTTTTTTTTTTGTTTTTTTTTTCTTTGCTGCAGCAGCAGCAACAAAACATAAAAGCCATAAACCCCCCAAATTTAAAAACAGAGTTTCATCTGAGGTGTATAGACTGGAGGAGTCTGTGCGTCGATCACGAGAGCAGCAGCAGCT